AATTTTATTTTACATAAAATAACTAATAATCATCGATCTTTATCACTTTTCTTTTATTCATTTTATTTAACTACTATTCAATCATGCAACACCTGTAGTTTAATCGCTGAAATAAATAATATAATAAAACAGTGAACTTGATCTTTCTTATAAATATAAATATGGTTCCGAGTTATATGTCAGTATATACTAAACGCTTTACATGTTATTTTTCTTTGAATCAATCATAAATTTGTGATATTGAATATAAATTCCTTCGAACAATTTCTTAAAACAACAGAAATAGAAACGTACTCCAAGCACTTTAAGAACGTTCCAAAAACAAAAACAGTCATTATATGATTATTAACATAAAATGCCGTGTCGCATTTGTTGTAGATAAAGGAAACAAAATATGCTGTTGTCACAAGCAATACAAAAGATAAGAATAAATGAATACCTTTCGATACATTCGAATGATAATCTACTCTATATTAGATATTAACGTCTATTTTACGTTTAATTAAGTATCTAACATTAAATACTGAAATGGTCAATTAAGCTCTAACTCAAAATGAATGGTTGGTTTTTGTATTTTTGTCTTTTTATCATCAAGTACGTTTTATTCAAAAACAAAATATACCACAAGATGTATATAGGTTAATAAGCTCTATATTAAGTACACTAAAAGCTTTGTTTTATGTATGCACCATTTATTTTTAGAATAGACAAAATTCTGTGTAATCGATTTTAGACACTGTGAACAAAATCATTTTTTGTCTATAATAAATTCCTTTTCTTATTTCATCAATTAAGCAATCATAGTTTTTAACTTTATCCTATTGTATATTTTTGACGATAGTGTTCTAAACTTATTGGTCCAAAAAATTGAGATTAGGACTGTTTAGTAGTCATCTATGATTGTTAATAAAATGCATGAAATTTTCTGCACATTATGCCAATGATTCCAGCTATGTGCATGATATGATTATTACGTGATAATGTTTCATTAGGTTAAAATATGATTGGGTGTGGGTGTACTTTGCCTTCTGGTTTATGTGTCCTTGTTAGTCTGCTTCTTATCACCTTGCAACATTAGTATCCTTTCGTCGATGAATAGAATTGTCTTTAATCAACGAGATAAAAAAAAGTAAATTGATCATTTATCACAAACTGGTCAAGTGCGTAGTATCGAAAATTGGTCATGTAGACTTTGGTTCATTTTGAAAAAAAAACATGCATATAAAAAATAAGATTTTTTTTTGTAATCTGTACAACTTATCATGATGCACCTTGTGATGCATTTTGTTTTTTGAATAAAAAGAAAAAAAAAATACTAAAAAAGATCATTCATTATTGGTTGCCCATTATGTGTCTGTTGTCATGAAAATCTAAATATTAAAACAAATTATAGGATTTACAAGACAAATATTAGTTTTGAGATGGTGAACGTTCTATTAGAAGAATTTATATACATCGACATAAAATAGCATCAAGATATTATGATGTGCTTCAAACTAGAATTGGTAAACTCAACAAAATCTGCCAGTTAAGACATCAACTATGATTGTTGGTTCTTATGGTTAGTTCAATGTGTGCATTGATTACAAAAAACTGAATCAATAGTATAGCAGATCTTTCCAAATTATACTGTGCAGACAAGAACTTATCGAATTTACCAATCCGATTCGATGCAAGACTTAACGACAAAAATAATAATAAATATAGAATAAATCTTGTTTATTGATAGGATATTTCCGAAATAACATAGTAAACCAGAGAATAAAAAACGAAAGTAAAGTTATGTGTAAAATGCGCAAAGTTTTATCAATTTTTAATAATTAGAAATCCACAACGATATATAAAGCAAATAGAGTACATATTAGTCCTATGAAATAATAGAATATTAAATGAAACATTTTGAAACCAAATATAATAAATAGTAAGAGAAAAAAGACTAATAATAGAAAACATCTATATTCGTATGAAAACGAATGTTTTGATGATGATGATCGTATAGACGAACTATTATCTTGATCTTGAACTGAATTCGACTGATTTGGATACATAAATGATGTTAAAATTGATGTTCCTGATTTTTTCAAATAATTTATAAATGCTTCACGTACTACAAATTGTGGAACTGAATTGATCAATTGATATAACGATCTTGAATGTGAAAATTTTTTTTTCAAGATAAGTGGTTTAACATTATCAAAAAAATGATCAAAGATAATTTTGATATTTTTTTCTTGTTTAATGAAAAAACTATTAAATAATTCATTTGTTCGAGTGATCTCATAACTAGTAAATGATGGATCAAATGTTCGTTTGACAGCATACATCATAAAATCATCGTAAAAGTAATTCATTATATCATTAACAATTGTCGGATATTTTTCAAAGAAATGGTCAATTTTAATCTTCAAATTAGTAAAACTTGGATTTTGAATTGGAATATTCAATTGTATATTCGAATGAATTGGAGCTGACTGTATAAAATCATGATTATCCAAATCGGCTAAAATTTTATTCAATGTATCTTCAAAATTACGGTTAAAATTCGAATAATTTGTCATATTATGGAAAATCTGAAATATAAAAATTTAATATTAGTTATATAATTATTATATCAACTGAAATTTAAGTTACTTATTCTCAATTTCTGTTAGCATTAAAATGAATATGTTTTGATATTTTCTCTTTTATTTTGTTTGAAGAGCCGAAAAAATTGTAAAGAAAAAGAAATAGTCATATTGACAACAAGAATAATCCTAGAACAATTTAATATTCTTTGTTTAAGCAAATATACAAATTTTGAATGAAACTATACAAAATACATAAATGATCCATTTTTATATTATTTGATTAGGAAATTAACAAGAACCAAAAACAAAATGCTACAAACTCGTTTTTGTTACTATCCAAATAATTGAAATGAGATAAAGCTCATACTAGTAAAAGTTTAGATTAAAGAACATTGATCCAAATAGAATATGCAAACTATGTTAAATCAATAAACGTGCAGAAAAGCTGTATATTTTCTAACTCAATATTATTGAAGACGAACAATAACAAAAATAATAATAAGTTAAATATTTCTTTTTCAGTATTTTCCCGTCGTTTCTTTTTTTTTTTTGTAAGAGATACCCAATCAGACAAACAATCAACGGTTTCAGGTGTAAAAATGTGTAGTTGAATCTATCAAAATTTTTTTCCCGGAAAAAAACAAACTGATAAAAATTTGTAATTCTAAACTAGATGTTCTTCAAACAATATGTGATTTTAAAGTGTTAAATAGTAGAATGTAGCAAAGCAAAAAAAAAGTTAAGAATGAAGTCCAGGAAAAATTTCCTGAGAACAGCAAAGACGCACATACAATTTTTTTGAAGTTGGACAGTGTAAAATTGTGTTAAAGATGAATTAATTCCCATTCTTAGAATTGTTTGTTGTAGAATTACAAGTTTTACACGTATTATAATAATTTAATAGTTCGATTCCACTTTTTCAATGCCAATTCCAAGTCAAAAACTGGAATCGGAATTGATACTTTCTTACCCTCAGTACCCCCATCTATTGGTATCACATCCTTGACAATAAATACAATTTTTAATCATGAAAATGTTGACTTTGTCATTACTTATCTATCTAACTGTAAGTATTATAGTTTTAGATAAGTTTTTGAGAAAAAAAACAAAGAAGTTGAAGCCCTAGTAAATATATTGAATGCAAGATATTCCTGCAGGTACTTTGCTACCAGTCTGTTACAGAAGCTTTTGATTGCTTCAGTACCTAAAGATACTAGATGAGTTGTTAGCAATTGACAACAAAATACTTCGAAATGCTCAATTTACTAAGTTGTCGAAAATTTTTTCGTAGTGTCCTATAGAAAGTGAACAGGTACCTGAAAATGTATCCTGCTGACAGCTGATCCCGTGCACAGGTACATTGAGCTCAGTACATTCACTAGGAAGAGTTGAAATAGCATTTTTATAGAAAGCAGGCGACCTTGATCAGCAGAGATTGAAATAGTACAAAAATTGCAATAAAAACACGGGGTGTCTCAAAAGTCATTTTACCGAGAAACAGTTGAGTATTTCTGTTACGGCTCGAGCGAAAAGGCTGATTTTTACATTGATAACAAAGATAGGCTCATGCCGCCTATCTATAAAAACAGGACTAAAAAGAACTATTTTTAAGCATAACTATTAACTTTAACAGAAAAATTTACTTTTTCACTGGAAAAAGCAATGTACGACGGAGAAGAGTCAATTTAAGAAAATAAAATGTAAATAATCAAATAAATTTCTGACTGTCACACGTCGTTCATTCACATATCTTTCCTCTTATTATTTTTCTTCTTTGACTCTACTATGGTCC